CCTTGCTCTTTCTACGTCAGTCCAGTGTCTAACGCCCTCACCTTGCTCTTTCTACGCCAGTCCGGTGTCTAACGCCCTCACCTTGCTCTTTCTTCGTCAGTCCAGTGCCTAACGCCCTCACCTTGCTCTTTCTTCGTCAGTCCGGTGTCTAACGCCCTCACCTTGCTGTTTCTACGTCAGTCCGGTGTCTAACGCCCCTCACCTTGCTCTTTCTACGTCAGTCCGGTGTCTAACGCCCTCACCTTGCTCTTTCTACGCCAGTCCGGTGTCTAACGCCCTCACCTTGCTGTTTCTACGTCAGTCCAGTGTCTAACGCCCTCACCTTGCTCTTTCTTCGCCAGTCCGGTGTCTAACGCCCTCACCTTGCTGCTTCTACGTCAGTCCAGTGTCTAACGCCCTCACCTTGCTCTTTCTACGTCAGTCCAGTGTCTAACGCCCTCACCTTGCTGTTTCTACGTCAGTCCAGTGTCTAACGCCCTCACCTTGCTCTTTCTACGTCAGTCCGGTGTCTAACGCCCTCACCTTGCTGTTTCTACGTCAGTCCAGTGTCTAACGCCCTCACCTTGCTGTTTCTACGTCAGTCCGGTGTCTAACGCCCTCACCTTGCTCTTTCTACGCCAGTCCGGTGTCTAACGCCCTCACCTTGCTGTTTCTACGTCAGTCCGGTGTCTAACGCCCTCACCTTGCTCTTTCTACGTCAGTCCAGTGTCTAACGCCCTCACCTTGCTGTTTCTACGTCAGTCCGGTGTCTAACGCCCTCACCTTGCTCTTTCTACGTCAGTCCGGTGTCTAACGCCCTCACCTTGCTCTTTCTACGCCAGTCCGGTGTCTAACGCCCTCACCTTGCTGTTTCTACGTCAGTCCGGTGTCTAACGCCCTCACCTTGCTCTTTCTACGTCAGTCCGGTGTCTAACACCCTCACCTTGCTCTTTCTACGTCAGTCCGGTGTCTAACGCCCTCACCTTGCTCTTTCTACGTCAGTCTGGTGTCTAACGCCCTCACCTTGCTCTTTCTTCATCAGTCCGGTGTCTAACGCCCTCACCTTGCTCTTTCTACGTGTCTAACGCCCTCACCTTGCTCTTTCTACGTCAGTCCGGTGTCTAACGCTGAACAGAAGTAAACAGGCTACACACAATCATGAGTAGAAATCAGAGCTGGAAGAAAGAGCTAGAGCTTGCCTTGTACTTAAATAAAAGTAGAAATACCAAAGTGTAGGAATAAAAGTCCTGCTTTCAAAATTACTTACTTAAGTAAAAGTACAAAGTATTTGCATCTAAATATACTTAAAGTAGTCATTGTGTAGATTGGCTCATTTCAGAATAATATCTGTTTTGATTATAATTATTGATCATTACAATGTTATCACAGCTGGTGAGGTGGAACTCATTGTAATGACTTTATTTACTGCAGGTCCAGGTGGAACCAAAGTGTGATTTAAGTGTTGATTATATTGTTTATCATTAATCTATATCTGCAAAGTAACTAAAGTTACTACATAAATGTAGTGGAGTAGAAGTACAAAGTAGCAAAAGATGGAAATACTCAAGTAAGTACCTCACAATTGTATTTAAGTACAGTACTTGAGTAAATGTGCTTAGTTACCTACATCTAGGGTACACATCTAAATAGTGTAAGCAAATGTAAATGTGATGAAGCCTCTCCCTCTCACAGGGGGGGTGAAGGTAACCTGTGAGTACAGGACTCACCAGGAGGGGGTGCTGCAGGAGGAGCTCACTCTGGCGACCAGAGGGCGGAAAGGAAGCCAACTGAAGGTCACCTTCCAGGCCAAGGTCATCGGTAGGTGCCCACAGACACACACACACACACACACACACACACACACACACACACACACACACCACACACACACACACACACACACACACACACACACACACACACACACACACACACACACACACACACACACACACACACAAACTGGTAAAGGAGTAAAAGTAGAACATTTACCTCTTATTTTTTATTTTTTTTTATTTTTTATTTTTACCTTTATTTAACCAGGATAGGTCTCATTGAGATTACAAATGTATTTTTCAAGAGAGTCCGGGCCCAAGAATGGTAACAGCACAGTTACAGACCATTTTAAAACACACAATCACAACACAGTCAACAAGTTAGCCAAAGCATTTACAGGCACAGCGGCCTGCTTCAAGGTCATTTACCTCTGAATTGTAGAAGAGTAGAAGTCCAAAGTAGCAGAAAATGGAAACACACACAGTACAAGTCCCTTAAAGTTGAAACAAAGACTGGGATAGAGTTTCAACCAAGTACTTTCGACAGAAGCAGCCGGCAAAGTTGGTCCGACTGTTGTTTATATGCGGTGCCGGCTTGAACAGGTCACATGATCTGATCACGCCGGCGTGACGGTCGACTCCAAAGGGTTAAGTATAGTACTTGAGTAGATTTACTTATTTGCTTTCCAGCACTGCCTCAAAAATATGCTGCCTGCTTCTTTGTTGAAAGAGTCCTTGGGATAAGCCCCATAATGAATGCAGCAGTGTCCTGATCAAATGTCCTGTACAAAGTGTAATACTTAAAGCTCTCTTTACTTACTCCCTCTGTACAGACCATCAGCATGGGACCCCCATGCTGATGGAAGGGGTGAGGTGTCTCGATGCTCGGAAAGACAGCAACTCAAGACGCAGCAGCGATCATGAGAAGAAGTGATGGAACGATATACTCACATATCCTGAATATGTCTGTACCACAGTGTCAGAGGAGGAAGCGTGGGAACACCAACATGTGGTCTGCAAATAAGAAACAGCTTCATTTGACTGGGAAATAATGTCTGTCACGCTTTGTTCTGTTATTGTGGTATTCCACATTTTGGAAAATAACAGCTCAAACAAATACTGTAGTCAAAATAAATATACAAAATATATGCTGATCATGAAGCAAAAAGCTAAAGTACAAATGACAATCGCAAGTACAGTACACCAGCAGTCATCACTAGCAGCTTACGCACACACGCACGCACGCACGCACGCACGCACGCACGCACGCACGCACGCACGCACGCACGCACGCACACACACACAATAAGCCACTGCCTGGAAAATAAATTCATGATCAGCACCACTCAATTATTTGTCTAGCTTTTAACCAAGTAAAGACAGTAGGCTTGCACAATGATGCTGGTGCAAATATCAATGTTACTAGAGTTTTAAGGGGGGTCTGATCACAGCCAGTCATTACCTGTTAAAGTCTCAGAGGCTTCAGAAATGACCTTATGTTTTATTTTGTATTATGTGTTTATCAGGCAATACACTTAACTTAAAGGGCCCATGTCATGCTTTTCCGGTTATTACCCGTCCCCTTGTGTGTTATGAAGGTTTTTCTGCATGTAAAGGTCTGCAGTCACAAACCCTCAAAGTACACCCTGTAGCGAGTAAAACTCTTAACACAGGAAAGACCTGTCTGTGCTGCCCCAGAACACCTCGTTGGAGATTTCTCTTTTTCCATTGTTTGCTTCCTGGGTTCTGTGACGTGTGAACTCCCAAATCAACAACAAATGACCGGATTGGCTCAAATGGACCAATCCGCGGAGCTCCTCCCACACCAGGGTCCCTTGGCTAACTAACAGGGAGTCCCCATTGACTTGCATAGAGCTCCCTGAACGCTAGTAATAGACGAGTTGGGATGGCGGAGAAATGCTCTCTGCAGACCCATGCTCACAGCGTTATAAACCTTCTTCTTTCTCAATATCAAGCGACACTTATTGTTTTTACTTCGGCTGTGAGTGTTTGTGTGTGCTCAGGATGAGTTTCGCTGTGTCTCGCTGTATCGCCGACCCGGAAGCCTGTCCCCTCCTCGCAGCAGTTCGCAGCAGCGAACCTCGCAACGTCCGACCAATCAGAACACAGTGGGCTCACAGGGAGGGGGGGGGGCAGGAGCTCCAACAAGCCGTTTAGGACAGAGAGTGAATACACATACTTTACAGAGATGCTGTATGAGAAACCAATGTGAGTTTGGAACATTGAACAATATACATCTATTCTAGTAGACCTCAACAATGGAATTATGATCAGTAGAAATGGCCATGACATGGGACCTTTAATAAACAAGTCTAATCCCAATATAGAATTTGCTCAAAATGATGACATGTATTTATCACAGTTTGTGCAAGATGCTATATTTGACTGATAACGTGTTATTGTTGCACTAACAGTTCTAAATGTAACATTGATATATCGTATAGTTGTATAACATTGATTCCACACCATAGCGACAGTAGCTTTGGCAACAGTGACTCAGCAGCTATCATCACACGTTATCAGGAGGCTGTTACTCCTTTGCTTCTAAGTAGCCTTTAACTAGGAGAGGGGAGCATGAGGATTACCCAAATAACCACAGTCTGTTCTACATGTAAATTACAAAGTATATAACAGCACAATAATATTGGAATATTTTAAAATGTAATCTTAAAAAGCAGAAAGTGTCTTTAAAAACCAGGAAATATTATTTGTATGACTTGACCGGTGCAACAGAATCTGAAAAGATGAGAACATGTTTTCTAGCATCTCTTCTGTTCAAAACAGCAGCCTTAGCCTATGTATGTGGTTAATGACAGTAGGATCAGGGAATGATACATAATATATCATGTATAAGTTATACTGTTAATGCTGTAAAGCACAGACAAAGATTGTTAATTATCTGCATGATGTACACTTCATGTCAAGCAGTGTAACCAAATGAACAGGTCAGCTAAATGATCAACCTTATAGCAACGCAAAAATGATTTTTCCTAAGCTGTAGGCTATTTATCGCATTTTAACTGCACTTTATTACATGGCAAATAGTATTTGGTTTATTGAATGATTCAAATAACTCTAATATATATAATGTTGTTGCTTGGTAGATCATCAGCTACAGGCTAAGGTTTTAGCATACACTGTGTTGTGTTGCTAACCCTTTAGCAATAAGTACACTTTGAATCGTTCCTACATCTCAATCGTAACTTGAATAATATTTCTTGGACACCAGAATTGACATTTAATAAGTAATAAGACATGGAAAAATACAATGTATAAATGATTTAGCACGCAAGAATGTTAACCGTAGAAAAAGTAGCTGGTGTCTCAGACAAACAGTTAGCAGCTAGCTCATTAGCTTCAAAGATTTAAATTTTCAATGCTAACCCTCATGTCGGTGAGCAGTTTGAGCCATCAGACACAAATCTGACATTAACATTATCATAACAGGACCCTAGTCACATTAAGCAAATTATTTTAAAATTGGATAACCAGCTTTTATCAATATACCTTTGAACATCCATGATTTTATCCAAACAAAATTGCCAACAGTGTCACATAAACAGTGTACTTCTGCATGAGTGGTATAGCCTATTGACTAAATGTAACAGGATCAGTTTCTTTTTGGACATCACTAGTCAAATGTATTTGGCTCTAGAATTTGGATTTGTTTTAGTGACAATAGTACGTGTTGTTGGAGCTTCATAGTGACACTGTCTTAGCAGTGTCCTGGTACTCAGCAGAGAGTGTGTGTTGGAGATCTACCAAGACACACTCAGGACCAAATGTTCTGATTACATTTCCTGTTTGTTTCAACAGTGTTGGTTGTGCGGCCTGCAGTGTATGTGTTCACAGTGTGTGTCCTTGTTCCCATCATAACATCACTATTTGTCTGTTCACTTGATGTCAATAAAGTATCTCCTCACATACTGTAAGAGGTCAAGTCAACTTTATTTCTAAAGCACATTTAAAAAAAAAAAACTGTGAATGGACTTATGTGATAATAAAAGCAAAGAACAAAACTATAAACGTCATAATATGAAAATCATTGCAGCACAGCATAAGAGGAGGTCTTTATATTACCTTACATAAGTTCACATCACATATGATTGGGTTTAAACGATTTTTTTTGCTTTCAATTTTTTTGGGGAATGTATTGTTAAATATGTGTACAATATGTGATCTAAAAGCGTTACAAATATTTTTTTTATATAATCTTGACTTAGAGTTTCCATTCCCATATTGACTCAATAAGCAGAAAGGACCACGGGACATTCCAAAGACTGATACATGAGATCGCTGTGTAGAAGAATAACTACGTAATAACTTCTATGAACCATTTACGCTTCCCTGTTTGCTCTTTACAACAGAACAAACGTCATGCCCCAACTGGCCTGACAGCATTCTGTAAATTGTGGTCATGTCAACTTTGAATGACAACTCACAATGGTATTGTTGTGTTTGTGCCACTTAATTGCTGCTTGGACACCCAGCTGTAAACATTTTCAATTTGCAGTACAGTGCAGTGATCGTGAACAAAATGAATGAAGGTATCTTACAAATGCTGATCAGTATATTCAAATGTAGTCTCATGTAAACCATTGCATGACATACAAGTAAACAATAAAATAAAATCTTATTGTAAAGGAATATTTTAGTCTTGTTAAAGTATATAGAGTTTAGTGACTTGTCCTCGGGAATCTGTTTAATATGGTTGAAGTGTATTCCTGCCTGTAATGTGATCCATAGCTTCTCAGGAAGACACAGGTCAAGAGGTCATCTGATGTCTTGTGGGGGAGAAGCTTGGCTCATGTGGGTTTACAATGCAACGAGTCTTTCTCTCGACATCTGGCATGCATTAAAGGAAAACCCGCGTGTTTTAGGGCCCTCCTCTCTTTCATGTATAGATGGGTGCTTGGCGCTTTTGGGCAGAGTTTGCTGGTATCTTGCAGGGAACTGTGATATGCTGTGAACTCTCCGGCCGCTCAGGCTCTCAATAAATATCAGTGTATTGACAGGCGAATCCAGTTTCACTCATTTCATGATTGGCTCAACATTGCTGCAAAGAAGTTTTTACTTCACACTTATTATATAATAATATGTAATAATAATCATTTTAACACGTTGTTAAAGTAGTGTTAATGTTAAAGTTAAAGTGACTACTGAATTGACAGAATTCTAAACAGACACAATCGTCATAAAAAATATATTTTGACCGAGATGTAAGCCTTTAGGTCCGATATGATTGGACTTTTGCAAAGAGCCACACATTTAGCCAATGCTCTCATACTGTACATCACACTGATTTTAGTGTAGTCTTTCTTTTTTAATGTTTTCCCTCAGACTAAAAACATTTAGTTTCCCTTGGTTTCATCTAGGTCTCTTTGCTGCAGTGTGTCTGAATAGATATTTCATCACTAAATAGTGCCAAACATGGACATTACCAATGTGAGAACAGTCTTAAAGTATTGACATATGGACCACCACATGAGTGACACCTCAGGCATAAATAACTTAAGTAAACTTTTAGCCTCATGACTTACTCTACAGCATTAAATTGCAGATGATCAAATCTATTGCAGAGGTATCTTCCATCATACATGAAGCGAGTGGAAGTGAAGTCCTTTTCACATTTCATTCTGGCATTGCAACAGGGCAGATGATGAGTGGAGCCTCATTCCGCCCTGATTTGTTAGTACAGGGGCTGAAGAAGGCATGGATGGTGTCAGGAAAGACATCTGTGAATGTAAAGATGAGCAATCTGGCCTCCACATTGAAGAAGGACACCACCCCCTTATCACAGTCCACAAAGACGCCCACCCGCGTGGGTCTGGGGTTCACGGTCAGGTTGGTGGAGGGTTCTGTTCGGAAAGCGTAGTCCGTCCGATCTCGCAAGCTCAGGAACCAGTAGCCGTGGGCGGGGCTTACAGTGATTTTGCCCTTCCGATTGACGGAGTGACTTGCCACTCCCAGGTCCCAGTCAGTCTTTCCTCCAACCTCCACCTGTAGGAGCAGAGCGCTGCAGTTACTGCCAAGAGTTAAAGGGCCCTATTCTGCTTGTTGGGCTTTTCCTTCTCCTGTAGAACCCGTATAGGTTGTTTTGCTTGGAAATGATTGCAAAGGCCAAAATCCCTGTGTTCAAGAGAGTTTCCCATAAATGACATACCAATATCAGCCAAGTTATCTATGCCTCCCTTAGATGCAAGCTACAGTAGCAGTATTTCACAATCTCTCTCAAATTGTCATCTGTTTATTTTGTCGTTCAACATTGGGGCAGTTTTCCAAGAAAAGTGTAATCATTGACTCAAAATAAATTAAACAGCCTTCTGTGTCTCTGTAGATTGATAACAAAAATTACATAATCCTCAAAAACAGAACTTATTCATGTTGGGTGAACTGCATGTTTGCATGCACTCTGTCATAACTACACACAGGTATTTTCTCAGCCTGACATCACATGGTGCATGCTTCTTGAGACAGTCAGGGGTCAGTACTGTCAATGTAGAGAGCTGCATGAATGTGTCGTACAACCTGGAGATTAGTTACTATTTCTTCCAGTTTCCTTGAGATTTTCATGTGTGGATCCACAACGAAAAACATGTCAGTAAATAGTTTATTTATAGCCAAACGTTAACTATTTCCGTCTGGCAAATGCATTTACGCTGAAAAAAGTGTTATTAATACTGCAGGTGGAGATAATCATGCCGACAGTATTATAATGGTTTGTTTCTGCAGTATTCCCAAATCCAATGGAAAAATCCTCATTGCTACTAGTCGAGGGGTCAACCGAAAAAAAGACGCTATCACTGCACCGTTCTAGAACAAACAGTATCCGTACACATACTGTACCTCCCAGTAGTGGCGCCCTGAGCTGAGGCCCTGGCGGCCCAGCACACACACCACCCGGTCGAAGCGCTCGGGGTAGTCGGGCAGAGACTGGTGGCGCTCCCCACACTGAACCCGCCTCCCGTCAGCTGAGATGATGAGCCGTGGGTGGGCTGTGTTGGCATCTAAAAGGACGTTTGCTGACAGATGGAGAGATGTTTATGATTAAACCACCAATGAAAACATAACTGACCACTGTTTACAATGACAACAAACTCCTTTAAATCCTTACTTGCATATTCTTGAACCTTTCTTGTCTCTGCAAAGAAAAGAGAATATATTTACTTTTGAAATGATTCTGCCACTGATTTAAATTTGATGTTGTGCTGTTAGTTAATCAGGATCTTACTTGGGTTGGTCTTTGGTACAGCATGCTCCGACGATTGCTGGACTGTGAAATATGGGAATGAACATGATTTTTATACCACTATTCTAATAAACACTATTAGAGCTCGTAGAACACAAGTGTAGATACTGCTATGGTACAGGTGATCCTTTTATTTCTAAAGACTTTGCACACAAGATTCAAGATAATTCTATCTGTGTCATGATCTTCCCCTTGAAATCAACATCTCTCTTGGACTTACAGACTTTGGGCAGTTGCTGTATCTCTTCCTGGACGCGCTCCATCATTTGATAGACAGTCCTGAGAACCGCCCCCGAGGTCAGCTCAGACACCACAGAGACAGAGGACCAGTCCTTCGCTGGGGGAGAGCTGGACAGGGCAGGGAAGCTCTGCACACAGAGGGAATGTCTTAAACACATGTGATATCAACAGGCTTAAAGAAACACATGCCATTGGTTTTGGAGTTGAATCCCCTTTCAACTTAAATATAGCTTGTAGGAAGCAGGGACCAAACCAAACATGTTTGGAATCAGCACTCAGGACAATATAACGTTAAGCTGGGTTCCAATAATCACTGCAGCCAAAATGCACTGGATTTAAATAGTGGTGGAAAGTAACTAAGTAAGTACATATACTGTACTTAAGTACACTTTTGATAGATTGTACTTGAGTAATGGTATTTACTCTAAATATACTTCTGCTCCACTACATTTCGGAGGCCATATTGTACTTTTTATTCCACTTATTTAACACATATAGTTACTAGTTACTTTGTACATATAAAAACACATGATATATGATAAGATGCAGTACTGTACTGCTAATATATAATTGTATTAGGTAAGTAACTAATATTAAGTTTAAATAAAAAAAAAATCTAAATGTAACTTAAAATGATTGCTTTAAAGGTCCCCTATTATACTGTTTTTCGTCAATATATTACAGGTGTCAGATATATACAGACATGTCTCTGAAGAGACAAACAGATCATTGCAGCATTACCCATAATCCCCTCTGTTTCAGCCCTGTTTCCAAAGTGCTGATTCTCTGTCTGTTACTTTAGATGAAAATAAGGAGCCCCTCCCCACGCCCCTCTGAGAGACATTTGGTTACAAAGAACTCAATGGTGCTCTAGGAGGAGATTCAGGTGATAAGGGGGGGGGGGGGGGGGTTACCTTGGTTGCTGATTGGCTAATGGTTACACAAGACAACACATCGTTATGACATCACAAAGTGGCCAAAATCTGATCAGCTCATTTTCAGACAGGTTTTTATAGAAATGGATCAGGACAAAAAGAGAAGAAGAGGGGACACATGTTGATGTAGAAGAGACATGAAGAAGAGGGGACACATGTTGATGTAGAAGAGACATGGAGAAGAGGGGACACATGTTGATGTAGAAGAGACATGGAGAAGAGGGGACACATGTTGATGTAGAAGAGACATGAAGAAGAGGGGACACATGTTGATGTAGAAGAGACATGGAGAAGAGGGGACACATGTTGATGTAGAAGAGACATGAAAAAGAGGGGACACATGTTGATGTAGAAGAGATATAAAGAAGAGGGGACACATGTTGATGTAGAAGAGACATGAAGAAGAGGGGACACATGTTGATGTAGAAGAGACATGGAGAAGAGGGGACACATGTTGATGTAGAAGAGACATGAAGAAGAGGGGACACATGTTGATGTAGAAAAGACATGGAGAAGAGGGGACACATGTTGATGTAGAAGAGACATGGAGAAGAGGGGACACATGTTGATGTAGAAGAGACATGAAGAAGAGGGGACACATGTTGATGTAGAAGAGACATGAAGAAGAGGGGACACATGTTGATGTATAAAATAAAAGTGGATTTTGCACAATAGGTGACCTTTAACTAACTTCAGACTTGTCAGTGTCCTGTAGACCTGCATATGTATCACTACTGTATTTGTTGTGGTATCTCATATCTCTGTATTGAGTCCTGCATTGAGTACCCTGAGAAAGAGTACGTAGTCTTCAGTCAGAGCCAGCTGGCTCACGGCCTCCCTCCTCTTCCTCAGCTCAGAGACCTCCTCCTGCAGCTCCGTCAGCAGGACCTCCGCTCTGTGCTCAGCCGCCCACCGGCTCCTCTCGAACACCTGGGGGGGACACACCTTACATAATAATCACAAGTCTTATGTCAACGCTAACAGAAAAGGCCTGGAGATTCTCTACATACTTCCTATGTTGGTTTTATTTACCTCCAAGACTTCAGCTTGGCAGCGCTCCAAACTGGAGATCAGCTTGGAAAACACACATACAGTTCCTTGAGTCTGTGTCTCCACGGCAGCCTGGGGACAGATGGACATGACCACTGATGAAGAGAGAGCTCAGGGGGGGGGGACACAAACTGTGATCTGGGACCTCATTTATAAAGGGATATACGCTCAAAAAATGGCGTACGCCAGTTTCTACGCAATGTTTGCGATTTATAAAATACTAACTTGACGGGAAAACGTGCGGTCCTCCACGCAAACTCTGACCCATGCGTACGCACTAAGCACAACAACGGGAGAGACGAGAAACTGGAGAAATAAATAAATACGGATATGTTATTTAAAACCACCTCGAATATGTTGTGTTAATGTTATGAAATGTTTTCTCATAAATGATGCGGTAAGCAGGAGGACAGCATTACGTCTGACGCCGTGTTGCATTTCTATAGGTTGTAGATACGAGCATGGTTTTATATAGCCTACTATCATGTTTAATCGTGTTAAATGCCGTTTGCACTTGATAAGTCGCTCGTAAAACACAGGATGTATGAAAACTAAGAACATCATATGTGGTAAATTGTACAGTGTGGTGACCACCTATTAATACACTGGGACATAATTCATACATGGAACTACAGTTGGGGCTATTGTTCCCACACGGACATGTTATGTGTTAACTATGTTGTGTGCCCTCCTGACTTCACTCTCTTCTTCCCGGACTGCAACCGGACAACAGCTCCTAAATGAAGTACCCTTTTGCACCTTCATTGCACCGCCTCCGACTCCCTATCTCTCGGCACTACAACAGCTAATATAACACAACACATTACTGTAGTTGTATTTCCTTTAACTGGTGGATTATGGATATATAATTGCTGATCAAAAGCTGGAACACAAACCACCAAATACAAACACATAATTCAGATCCAGTCGTCATGACTCCACTCCGGAGGGATTCCCCGATCTCCTGTCCCCGGCACAAACACACTGCCTGAGGAAGGCTATGTGTATTTTTTTTGTCATTAACCTTTTTCGGACCACTTATTTATTTATTTTGGTGACGATCCGACCTCCATGCTGCTACTCTGGTTCAAACTGCATCCACCAAACAATATAATTTATCTCGACCTCCCCAAAATAACCAAAATCTGACACGGTGTGAGATGTCTTTTTTAGCTGTTCTGTCATCATTTCCTGCGATCTTCTTCATAAAGTCAGTCAGAATGAATGAATGAATGGGCGTTTATTTGACTATTTATAGGCAAATATAGGCGTTAGGCTACGTGAAGCCCGCAAAAGCTGTGCCGTATTTCGAGTCGATTGTGATTTATAAAGGGAAACCGGCGAAGGAAGTGCCGTACGGACTTTCCTCGCCGGTACGCAATGTTTTGTGAATCGGAAAATGTCTGTACCTATTTTTTTTATTTCTACTACGTAAGCAACCTTCCCACGTGAATCCTACGCACTGCGTTATAAATGAGGCTCCAGGGGGGTATAGTACGAAGCAGGATTTTCGCTTAGTCGGCTAACTTCAGGGAAAACTCTGGGTTTCCGGTCCTACGGAGCTGGTTCACTTTTTAGCGGGCTAGATCTCCATGGTGACTTATCCTGGAACCTAGCCTGTGCTCCGAAGCCGGATAGGTTCCAGGATAAGAGATCAACTCAGCGAAAGCACCACGCCTGCTGACCAATCAGAGCTCAGTGTGCGGAGGAAATACAGTTTAAACTGCCGTTGCAGGAAAGACGGCCGGCCAAAATCACCGACTGTGTGAACGTGAAAATGAATAGAACATCCCCTCCCATCTTCAGAGCAATCTGACTATTATAACATTAGCGTTAAGAAAGCTTACTTAAATATCTGCCACAACATAAGTAACCGGATCAGAGTAACATTAAGTACAGTCCGCGGCACTGTGAGTGCAGACGTCGATGTGTCCCATTATCATTCATATCACAGCATATCACATCATAATGTATCACATATTTCCTTATCTGAGTCAGCTGAGCCGTATCTGGCCGTGCAACACTCACAGTGTCACATACTGTAAGCAGAAGTATTATTTTAAGCAACACATTAAGTTGAGGAAACACTCGAGACAAATGTAATTAAAGTCAAATCGTGTTTTAGACGGGGCAGTGATATCATAAACCTGTTAATGTACGCATTCAAACACTTGTTCTGTTACCAGCTGTATTCACCTTGCAGTCATGGATGTTTAAAGTTTAACATCTTCATATTTGTCTAATTATATAGTTGACTTTTCATTCAGGAAGTATGACGCTGCGCTGTCAGTACGCTTCTCCATGTTTGTGATTGATCGAATGCTCCAGATACCACCCCTTTCATGTGAACGCGCACCTAACTAGATAGGACACGGCTGGCTTGAGCGATCCACTTGATAACCCGCGTCGTAGTACCGTTTAGCGAGAGCACGTATGTTTTGGATTAGGCCAACCGGCTAACTCAAACATATCCAGGTTAGGTTGAACCAGCTTCGTAGTATACCCCCCAGGAGACTTCCAGGCTGTACCAACCTATTACTTTGTGTATACTGGCAAAGGCGCTGCAACTGAAAGCATTTATTTTGAATGTAAAATCTCTGTATGAGAACCATGTCATGCTTTTCCGGTTATTACCCGTCCCCCTTGTGTGCATGTAAACAGTGTGCAGAGTCAAAACCCTCAAAGTACACCCTGTAGTGAGTAAAACTCAGAACACAGAAAATACCTCCCCAAAACGCCTCGTTGGAGATACGTCATTGTCCATTGTTTACTTCCTGGGTATTGTGACGTAGGAATGGCCAGTAGCCACGCCCAGAGCTATGACGCGAGACGGTCATGCGGTACCCGGAACCAAATGGACCAATCCGTGGAGCCGTTACGTTACTTCCGCGGAGCCGTTACGTTAAGCCCCCGCTGATTGGTCCAAATTGACCAATCCACGGACTTCCTCACACACTCAGTGCATGCAGCTCTGCTGATCTCTCCTCCCTGGCTGCAGGCTGATAACAGACAGCTGGGATCGCGGCGAAATTCTCTCCGCAGACCCATTCTCACTGCAGACCCATTCTCTCCGCAGACCCATTCTCACAGCGTTTATCAACCTTTTTCTTACTCAATATCAAGCCACACTTATTGTTTTTACTTCGGCTGTGACTTTGTGTGTGCTCAGGATGAGTTTGGCTGTGTTTTGCTGTCGCTAAACAAGGAAACCACACCTCCACGGAGCTCAGTGCGATTCACGACGTCCCGACCATTCAGAGCACACTGTGCTCACAGGGAGGGTGGGGGCTGGAGCTATTGGAGCTACAACGAGCCGTTAAAGGCAGAGAGTGAAATTCAGTGAATACACGTCGTTTACAGAGATGCTGTATGAGAAACCAATGTGAGTTTGGAACATTGCACAATATAAATCTATTCTAGTAGACCTCAACAATGGAATTATGATCAGTGGAAATGGCCATGACATGGGACCTTTAAATCCCTGGGACTGTTCTCTAGACCAGTGTTTCTCAAACTTTTTCATACCAAGGACCACTTAACCAATAAAAAAACACTCGCGGACCACCTAACTCCACAAATATCCAAAAACACATCGTTTTTTACAAATTGCCTGAAAATGGTACAAACAAGTGGCAACATGTGTGATGAAGGTGTTTATCTGGGCTATATCATGCAATCAAAACTTAAACTTAACCTTGCTCCATTGTGGAGATATTCCCGCGAGAGTGCGAAAAACTTAAATAAATGTATTTATTTCAAATGTGACATTTTACCAATATACTCACGGACCACTAGGGTGCGCTCACGGACCACCGTCCGCGGACCACACTTTGAGAAGCACTGCTCGAGACAGCTCTCAGGAAATCACGGTTTTCGTTATATAACACATACATCAAAAATAAATGTTTTAATAGGATTTTTAAGAATGAATATATATACTGGAGGTGTCTGTAATATTGTAAGAGTGATAGTTCGTTCAGATTGAACTTTTGCCCATATTCTAAAAAAGGATTCACCTTTCTAAAGAGTGAAACTCACCTGTATCTCTCGTAGGGAGTTGTGTATTTCCTCCACTTTCCTCTCTCTCTCAGAGATGAGACCCTTCAGCTTCACATCTGCAACACCCAACTGGGACTGGAGAAGAGAAAAACACACGTTTCCTTAGGGTTAACTTGAACTAACTCTATAACGTTTAACCCTGCAGCCTAACAATGTTCCTATTATTTCTTTAAATAAATGTTTTATGTCCAAAACAAGCCTCGTAAAAAGTGTTTTCAGCCAATTTGTTTCCACTGTCCCTGACTCTCAAGTTTTTCACTGTCCATCCCAGTTAGAAAACTCTCCTGACACACACACACACACACACACACACACACACACACACAACACACACACACACACACACACACACACACACACACACACACACACACAACACACACACACACACACACACACACACACACAACACACACACACACACACACACACACACACACACACACACACACACACACACATACACACACACACACACACACACACAGTAATGCACACACACGCACGAACACACACACACACACACCACACTTCCTGCTGTGCCACTCCCTCTGGGCGGGGGTGACGCTGTGCCCCCTGTGCTCTGCTGTCTCCACACAGCTGGAGCAGATGCAGATGTTGTCGGTGCGGCAAAAGAGCTCCAGAGCTCTCAGGTGAAGGGGACACTTGGGAAGATTCTGGAAGGAGTCGCTGGGGACACTCATGGTATGCCTGTCATAAAATGATATTCAACAACATGGAAAATTGATAATTCTGTAGTTTTTAAGTCAAATCAAGTGATTCTCAAAAGACAATTTACACAGTTGATTTTTTTGCATTTCTTCAGTAGTACATTTAAAGGTGGGGTATGTAATTTATTTCAGAAAACACTTTTTGTTATATTCCATGGAATGCTCTTAACATCCCGATAGCAATGAATATCTTAAATGCTTTGACAATAAATACATAAATTAATCTGTGGAAGCCGTAGCGCTGTAAAAAGTACGACCAATCATCTGAGCCGGCCCGGCTAAAGTAACTGGATGGCCTACCTGCCTGTCAGCCTTCCATCTGTGCACAAACTTATCTCGTGCCCTCATTGGTCATGTGCGCGTTCGTATGTGTTGGAGGAGGGGCTCTGTAAGGAAGTCTGAAGGAAGGGGCAGATTCTTTTCGGCTGCGTACTTTCAAATTCTAGCGCACTCGAGCTGGTTTCTCCATTCTTACCTACCCTACCTTTAATGAAGAAATAGTTAATTGGTCAATTTCTCTGCTGCGTTTGTGGGTTTGTTGACCTGGTATTCAATTTTAATTTTGAATAAGGACACAAAAACACGAGTGCATCTCTCCTGGCCTATAGTAGTTCTGCCAAGTCATTTCATCTGTGGAAATGTGTCCACAAATGTTTAAATATCACTATACTGTAAACCTATAAAAGTTGGATTGTGATATTAAAATACATACACAGCAATAGCCTATATCAATAAAATACTTGTTGTGTTTAATGATATATTTGTGGATTATGGTAGGCCTACATTGTGGATTGTTTTCTGTGGGTTCTAAATATTATAGACCGATAAGAACTTCTTCAGAAGAGGATCTAAAACGGAATGGTTTATTTCATGTGTTCTGATTGAGACAGCCAGACCGGGTGTTCGTATTTACTATAATATAGCCTACTGCAGATACCACAATGTATTTACACAAGCACTGAGAAGTGAGTACACTGAAAAAACAGAAACATTTACTTTGATTAAATGTATTATGTCAACAAATGTCTTGTCTGTATTAGATTAGTTGTATTAAATAATAATTTGTATTTAAACGTAATATTAATGCTTTAAAGTTGTTGACATAATGCATTTAATCCAAATCAACATTCCAGTGTTTTTGGTGCAGTGTCTGCGTGTCTGCAGTGTCTGTCACCTGCGGGGGGGCGAGTAGCGGGGAGGCGGATCTTGGTGCTCATCACTGAATGGAGCTGGGCTCTGAGGGAGAGGGTCATCGGGTGAGGAGGGGTGGGTGCTAGGCGTCCCCGCAGTCTGCAGCTGCTGGAAACGATTCATCATCTCAGCGAAGACGGTCCCCGGCAGCTCCCCCGCCCTCTGCGGGAGAGAGAGAGAGGGATGGCGATGGCGGGGGTGAGAGTTTGGATCGTCCACACCCTGCCCTCCAGAGCTGACGATCTGCTTGAACTGCTCCGTGATCTCCTTCAGGGTGCGGTTGATGTGGAGCTCCGGTCGCCTGCGGAAAGGCTCCTTGCAGAGGGGACACTCATAGGACTTGGCCCCCACTTTCGTGTCCCAGTAGGAGGAGATGCAGGCCTGGCAGAAGCTGTGGCCACATGAGGTGGAGACGGGGTTGTTGAACACATCCAAACAGATGGAGCAGGTGAACTGGTCTTCAGACAGGGAGGCTGCAGAAAGCTCCATCGCCATCCAACGATCAGCTGGAGAGAGACAGTGTGCTGTTAGGAAGAAAACATAGACAGACCTTCTACACTGAAACATCAATTTTAATTCAATGTATCATGTCAAAGGGCTCCACATTAGGGTAGTTGAAAGCAATAATATTACATTTGAACTAAATTGTTTTGCTTTCAACTAACCTAATACAATTATGTGAAACCTGTTGACACAATAAATTTAATTAAAGTCAACATTTCAGGTTTTTGTATTCCGTTACAATTAGGTACCTGCCATCAGTAACGCAATCTGAGTATCACAATGTAAAAGTAATGTAATCTGATTACTTTATGTTACTTTTGGATATCCTCAATATCAAATGCAATGAAATATGTATTTTTAGTATGATGTAAGACAACAGAACAATGACCTTAGGAAAGAAGAAACCAAGATATTTAGAGTCAAGTTCACATAATGCATTCGAAAAAAATATATTTAAAATAAAAAAGATTAAAAGTAACCTTAATGAAAACCAAAAACAACAATGTATTTATTTTATTTATTTATAAGTATATGTCTGCCTATAATGTATACAACTTTTTTAATCTAACTGTAAGGGAACACATTTACCTTTTTTTTCTATTCGGATGGCATAATCCCGTCCTTTAAGGGTTCATTCTAGATCTGCTGGTTGTTGTAGTGTGTTTTGGTCGTAAAGAAAGGAATCTACACCAAGGCTTGCAAGGCAGTCGAACTGGTTGCAAGGATATTGTGAAATACCATGAACCACGTTCACCCACCAGAAAGATGGCAAACAATGCAAACAGCTCAATCAGATCAGAGTCCCACAGGTTAATAAGGTAAGACTGAAGCATTCTTTTGTCACACTGAAATGAAATACAGAGTTTAATCCCGAACCCAATAAAATACCCAATATTAGCGGTGTGTGTATCTGCCCAAGGACAAGTTAAGGTAAAACCTAATAGAGGTGTCATACATAATAACCTAATAAAAGTAAATGTAACAACTACTACAGTGCAACAAAACAGGAAGATTAAATGTGGTCTCTTAAACATAAGATCTCTAGCATCTAAAACAATATTGGTAAATGATTTAATATCAGATTATAATATTGATATATGCTGTCTCACTGAAACTTGGTTGAGACATGAAGAATATGTCAGCATAAATGAGGCCACTCCACCCAGCCATATCAATACTCATATTCCTCGAGGCACGGGCCGAGGAGGTGGAGTTGCAGCAATCTTTGACTCAAGTTTACTTATCAATACTAAACCAAAATTAAATTATACCTCCTTTGAAAGTCTCGTTTTTAGTCTTACGCATCCGACCTGGAAAACTTTGCAGCCAATCTTATTTGTTACAGTGTACCGTGCACCAGGTCCTTATTCAGAATTCTTATCAGAATTCTCTGAGTTTTTATCAACTTTGGTTCTTAAAACAGATAAAGTAATTATCGTAGGTGACTTTAATATTCATGTTGACGATGATAAAAATAGCCTTACTGTTGCATTTAACTCTATATTAGATTCTGTTGGTTTTTGTCAGAGTGTAAATAAACCAACCCACTGCTATAATCACACTCTCGACCTTGTTCTGACTTATGGTATTGAAATTGAGCAACTATTAGTCGAACCGCATAATCCTGCTTTATCCGACCATTTCTTAGTAACTTTTGAAGTACTGTTACGAGACTACAAAGCATTTGTCAAAAGCTCCTGCAGCAGAAACCTATCTGTTAGTGCTATAGCCACATTTAAGGAAGAGATTCCACCAATACTTAACTCGATAGCATGTCTGCATGTAAGGGAGGAAACTTATACAAAATGTACACCACCCCAAATTGATCATGTTGTTGATAGTGCTACAGATGCGCTGCGAATAAAATTAGACTCTGTTGCTCCTTTGAAAAAGAAGAAAATAAAACAACATAGATTAGCTCCATGGCATAATGCCGAAACCCGCAAAATAAAGCAAAAGTCGAGACAACTTGAAAGGATATGGTGTTCCACTAAACTTGAAGAATCTCGTTTAATTTGGCATATTACTCTCAATGAATATAAGAAAGCACTGCGTAAAGCGAGAGCAGCCTACTACTCTTCATTAATAGATGAGAATAAAAATAATGCAAGATTTCTTTTCAGCACTCTAGCCAGGCTGACAGAAAGCCACAGCTCGATTGAGCCTTCTATTCCCATAGCACTCAGTAGTAATGATTTTATGTGCTTTTTTAACGATAAAATTGTTACTCTTAGAAACAAAATTAATGACCTCTTGCCTTTGACCAGTATAGTGTTATCAACAGCTCCCGGAAACGTAAGTTCTAATATTACAGCCATAAACCTTGAACAATTAAATTCAATGATTCTCTCTTCTAAACCATCAACGTGCATGTTAGACCCAATTCCAACTAAGCTGTTGAAGGAAGTTTTTCCATTAATTAGCACTTATTTATTAAACATTATGAATATGTCTTTATTATCAGGCTATGTTCCACAATCATTCAAAGTAGCAGTGATAAAACCGCTTCTTAAAATGCACAACCTCGATCCAGAGGTTTTAGCCAACTATAGACCTATTTCTAATCTTCCGTTCCTCTCAAAAATTCTTGAGAAAGCGGTCGCAAAACAGTTGTGTGATTACTTAAAAAACAATGATTTATTTGAAGATTTTCAGTCTGGCTTTAGAACACATCATAGCACAGAGACAGCTCTGGTTAAAGTCACAAATGACTTTCTAATAGCCTCTGACAAGAGACGTGTCTCTATTCTTGTTTTGCTCGATCTCAGTGCTGCATTTGATACTATCAACCATGATATCTTATTGCAAAGACTAGAGCACTTAGTTGGCATACAGGGAACTGCTTTAGACTGGTTTAGGTCCTATCTATCTGAACGCTCTCAGTTTGTACGTGTCAATGATGAATCTTCCACGCAAACCAAAGTTAGCCATGGAGTGCCACAGGGCTCAGTGCTCGGACCTATTTTGTTCACATTATATATGCTTCCGTTTGGCAATATTATAAGGAATTATTCTGTACATTTTCATTGTTATGCGGATGATACTCAACTATATTTATCAATCATTGAACACACACATACAAGATGGCTGATGGTGTGTGTTATGGCTCGGTAGCTCCCGATTCAAACCACCGGCCTCGACTAAAACCTACAATATATAAGACTGTTGACGGCCTAGTTATTGTAGAGGATGAGTTACTCAACTTCCTGGCGGTTAAAATTAAAACTATGACCCAGGACGAGCTAGTCCTTGTAGCCTCTAACACCTTCGATTCCGAATGGATCGAGACTTCTAAAAAGACGTTGTTTGAACTCTGTCCTGAAACCAAGCAGCGGTGTGTGGCCTTTAAAGGCAACCAGAAGGATGCAAACAATATTAAAAGCTGCCTAAAAGTGCTAAATGAATGCGGTGAAAACATCCCCCGTTTTGTCTCCCACTACCTGGATGAGCTGCCGCCTGTTACGTTTAACAACCTGGATGTGTCCAACCTGCTGAGCAAGATGGAGCGACTGCACAGCGAGGTTTGCGCATTAAGACACGTAGTGGAAGTTCAGGCAGATATCGGTGAGGACCTGCGTGCTGTGGCTGCGACCATGGACAGCAGAGTTGCTGCCGTAGAACGCCAGTTGGAGCCGAGTCATGGTGGAGGACTGGCTGTACCAAGTGACGCTGAAACTACCTGTGGGATCGCTCAGGGTGATGGTGCGGTGTTGGTGAAGGATGCGAGCCTCTTCTACTGATGTAGTACATCCCAACTGTGTTGACCCGCTCGCTGCGTCAGGGACCGTGAGTGCCTGTGTGAGCCCTGGAGGAACTGCGGTAAATTCGCAGGTATGGAGTCAAGTTGTGAAACAGGGCCGAGGTCGGAGGAATAGGGCCGAGGGCCAGTCTGCCTTATCAAAACAGCTTGTTGGGAAACCTGAACGGAGGATGCCTAAGCCTATTGTTGGCACTGCTGCACAAGGGAATATCAAAGTGATCCGTACGAAGTTGGTGAGTGTTTTTGCTACAAAATTATCGCCAGACCTTGATGCTGAGACACTGTCCGAATATCTAACTGAACAACTCGGCCGTGATGTTAACTGTCACCGTATTGACACTGCAAGCAGCAGATATAGCTCGTTTAAAGTGTGTGCTGAGTGCAATGAAGTTGCGGAGATGTTTAACCCAGAACTCTGGCCTGAAGGCTCAGTTGTGAGAAGATACTATGAACCACGTAAAGCGGAGGTGATAGGGGCTAGCAGAGCTAGACCTTTTGCTGGTGCGAGGGTACTGAATGGGGCTACGGCTGAGCTGCTTAGCTAAACGTTATGCGGGTTGGATCATTTAACTGTCGCGGGCTGCGCCTGGGCAACAGCGCTGCTGATAGGATCCGACGTGTAGTGGTGGACAACTTGCTACAAAAATGTGACATTTTATGCTTGCAAGAAACTTTCTTACCAAAGCAGGACTTGGGAAAGTTGAACTCTCTTAATGACAATTTTCACGGGGCTGGTGAGTCCACTACGGACCTATCTCTGGGAATAGTGAGAGGAAGGATAGCAGGGGGCGTGGCTATCCTGTGGCACAAAAAGCTGGACACTGTCATTAATGTCATCAGGCTTGAAGTTGACTGGTGTATTGCTGTACAGATCAAAATGAATAACAAGGAGTTTAGCATTCTCAATGTATATACACCATATGAGTCACAGCATAATGAAGATGAATACCTGAACAGACTTGCTTTTATACATTCTTTTATTGCTGATAATCATTCCACCAGTGTTTTTGTAGTGGGTGATATGAATGCTGACATATTACACAAAATGTCCTTGTTTGCTAAGCATATGCTACAGTTTTGTGATGATAACAATCTTATATTATCAAGCCAAATACTTCTGCCTACAGATAGCTATTCATATATAAGCGAGGCCTGGCATACAACTTCATGGCTTGACCATTGCATAAGCACTGCTAATGCCCATGACACTGTAAGATCAATCGAGATTGTGTATGAGGCATCAATGTCAGATCACATTCCTTTTATAATGTCACTAGATTGTGATAGTCTCCCTGAGATGTCTCAGGAGGTTAAAAATGCCTGTAACACTAAAGTGGATTGGTCCAAGCTCACAAATGAGGATAGGCTATTGTACTATGGGAGAACTGATGTCCTATTGAGTGATGTATATCTACCCAAAGTGGCAACTCTGTGTGTTGATGTGGGTTGTAATGAAAACTCTCACCGTGAAGACCTCTGTAACATGTATGATTGTATTGTGGGAGCTGTATGGGAGGCCAGTAGACCGTGCTGTACCTACTCTAGGAAGAGACACAACGTCAAGCCAGGGTGGAATAAACATGTGGCTGATCAATATGCTGAAGCCAAGAATGCTTTTGGGGCCTGGGTCCAGGCAGGTAGGCCCAGAGAGGGGCCTGTCCTGGATCTCAAAAAGCGTACAAATGCTAGATATAAATATGCAGTTCGTTATGTCAACAAACACACAGAAACATTGAGAGCGGACTCTATGGCTGAAAAGCTCCTTCATAATGATGTGACTGGCTTCTGGAAGGAGGTGAGAGCTCTGAACAGGGCCAGTACGTCATTACCGTGTACCATAGAGGGAGTATCTGGAGCCGATAACATAGCTGAGTTGTGGAGGCAACATTACTCTAATATACTTAATTGTGTTAAAAGGGACCCCTACAAAGTTGGTGATGTTGTGAAGAGTGACACAGTGGGAATTACAGCTAAAGAGGTTTATCGAGCAATTGCACAGCTAGCTGATAATAAAGCATGCGGCTCTGACCGAATCACTGCAGAGCACCTTAAACTGGCAAGCCCGAAGGTTGCAGTTCTTCTTGCCATTTGTTTTACCGGCCTCATATGTTGCCAGACTCCATGTTGACTGTTACTTTGGTGCCTGTCATTAAGGACAAAGCGGGCAAGGTAGGG